CGCATCCTGACCACGGACCCGGCACTAAGGGGATACTTAGCCAGGATTCCGTAGCACCGGCATTTTTGCTAAGGGCTTCTGGCTATCGTCCTGATTCAGGCTTACATTCCGAGAGAATCCCTATGAAGGATCCTATACTCAGTGCACTTGCACTGAGAAATCTTCATGTAAGCAAGCCCATAGAAAGGACGGCTATTTCAGGATCCCGGACTAAGAGGGACTCTGCGAAGACACCAGTACTAAAACACCCCTGGCAATCCATCCGTACTAAAGGCACCCTTACAAAACAGACTCCTGATTGACGAGTCTTTTGTGGTCCTTCCCTACTCCTTCCTCCACCTCCTCCTCCTCCTCCCTTCCTCCTCCCCATCCTCCTCCTCCGCCTCCTCCCTGTTCCTCCTGTTCCTCCTCCTCCCCTCATCTCTTCGGCGAGTGCGCTCCACCTCCCTCCCTCTTCCCCATCCCCCTCCCACTCAGAGCCCCCTTTCGGCGGATAAATCAAGCAACGCCACTGGAAACCAGCGGGGGCATAGTTCCCGCTCTGCCGCGCCCGCGGGCGAGGGTTCGGACGAGCCGTGCACTACATCCCCTGCATCCTTTCGTCACCTTATGCCATCCCTCTCCTCCGTTCTCATCCACCCTCCTGCGCCGCCCTCGTCCACCTTCCTCCCCCTTCTCGGCGATGACACTGCCGCGTTGACGAGGAGGGTGGAAAGGGCCAATTGCTCGAGCCGTTTTTGGGAGGGGCTGTTCGCCAGGCCACTCGCCAGAAATCATGAAAAGCGCGAGCTTTAGCTAGGGGAGCAAAAAGTGGCATAAACATAACAACTCGGAGGTCCGCGCGGATTTCTCGGATCCGCGCTGGATTCCCCTCCCTGGCGCGCGGAGCGCGCCGGGGGTGGCGCCGGAGGCGCCGCTGGGGGGCCCCAGCGCCGATCCGAGAAATCCGCGCGGACCTCCGAGTTTTTATGTTTATGCCACTTTTTGTTCCCCTATTCGCACATCCTCCTCCTGTTACTCCTTGTTCTCGTTTTCATTATGTTTCGTTCTCGTCCGCAGCCATGCGCGCCGAGGCGAGTGCTCCCTGCGTCCAGCGGCCCGGGGCGCTCACTCCCCGTCGGCTCCGCAATCACAGTGCGGCTCGGTGCACCACCTCTGCTCGGACACCGCCCTCCCCACCCGCACCGACCCCAGCGTGGCAGCTGACGGCATTTGGCTCCATCGCTTCCACATCCACTCCACTAGGGGAACAACAAGTGACATACACATAAAAATTCGGAGGTCCGCGCGGCTTTCTCGGATCGGCGCTGGACCCCCCTCCCTGGCGCGCGTAGCGCGCCAAGGGCGGAGGCGCCGCATCCGAGAAATCCGCGCGGACCTCCGAGTTGTTATGTTTATGCCACTTTTTGTTCTCCTATCCACATCCACTCGTGTCTTCCATATCTTACACTCTGCCCCTCCCTCGGCTCCCCTCGAGGTCGAGACCCGACGTGTGCCTCCATCCAGTGCACACCCTCTCGTGCCCTCCCTCTCCTGCAGGCAACCCGCATAGTCAGGATGAGCGGCTTTCCAATATGTCCCCTGGATCCTTCCCCTTTGGCCCATCCTTGGTCGCTTTCGCTGGCCGCGCCCCGCTCGCAGGGTGTCGACATGGCCTTTCGAGGCCCTTGCGTTCCTACCGTGCGTCCTTACTCTACAGGTTGGCTGTACGTTCTGCCCCTCCCTTGGCCACTCTCGAGGTCGAGGCTCGGCGTTTGGGCCCATCCACTCCACATCCGCTCGTGTCCTCCCTTTCCCACAGGCGACCCGCATAGTCAGGATGAGCGACTTTACAATGTTGCCACTTGTCCTCCTCCTCCTCCTCCTCCTATTCCTTCTCCTTCTTCCCTCCTCCTCCTCCTCCTCCTCCTCCTCCTCCTCCTCCTCCTCCGCCTCCTTTTCTTCCTCCTCCTCATCAAGGATGAGCGACTTTCCAGGTTCACCCTTGCACCCTTCCCCGTCGGCCAATCCTTGGCCGCTTTCGCTTGCCGCGCCCCGCTCGTAAAGTGTCGACATGGCCTTCCCAGGCCCGTACATCCTCATTTGTTTCCGCGTCTTTCTTGCACGGGTGGGCTGTACATTGTGAGCCTTCCTTCTGACATGCTTCCTGAGCCTTCCCCGAAGACACCGACAACCTCTCAGAAGCCTAGAGCGCTTCTGAGAAGCCCCGCCGCCTCCTGAGAAGGGGCATTCTCCTTCTCGCTTGCCCCTCCCCTCGCTCGCCGCCGACCTCTACGTTCTGCCCCTTCCCTGGCTGGCCCCTGGAGGGCGGGGCCTCGCCCGTCAGCTCCGGGCAGCCCCTCGCGTGGCGGGCGGCCCGTTTTCCTGGCCAGGCCGATCCTCTACTCACCAGTGTAGACGCATATCCCTATTCCTCGGAGGAGGGGAAACGGGTACCTCGGGGGAAGGGAGAAGGAGATGCCCGTGCTGCTACGCTTCTCCCGTTTTCCTGGTTTTGGGC